AGCTACCTAAAAACTGCAAACATAGAGCAGAGAGTGTATTCCCATAATAATAAGGACAGAAACACACCAAGAAAGTAATGTGCAGTAATACAATTATTTATGTATTTTTTTTTTAGCTAACTACATTTGTTTTTCAGAAAATGGTACCCACTTCCAGAAAACAAAAGGCAACAATAATGGTATGAGGGGATAAAGATAGGTGAAACTTTCACTTTTAAGTTAAGCTCCACCTTACCAATTCCACACGTGTACATTAACCTTCCAGCACCCAATCCCTTATGAATCTATGGGTTTTTTTCTTGATGAATACCAAAACAATGGATTCACCTACTGATGGCCTTTGGTCAGATTGGAGGTCACTATGGAACTGTTTGCACCTCTGAAGTCATTATGTGTTTTCTTATGTTTTACAGAAAACAAAAAAAATAATAAAAAATAAATAATAAAAAGTATCTTAAAGCCCAACTCCATCTCTTCTACAGGACTATTTGATTCTTGATATTGGCATTATGATAATTTGTTATTGAAGTGGTGTTAAACTTCAAACCAAAAATGTTATATATTGCATCTTACCAATCCTCAGATGTGGTGGCTGCACTAGTTTTCCCTTTTTAGGCATCTTCCCTGTTTTCACCTGGTGATCTGACCGGTAACACACATCCTGTGTTAGAGAGCACCTCTACTCTGGATGATGGAGCACAGGGGAAACCTTTGGATAGCAGCATTGTCAGTTTGGGGGCAGAGGATGTTAGATGTACTAGCAGATTTAGATACACTTACAAATTGTAGCCAAACTCCAGCTCATGCTACAGTTACACATGCTGTTACAGCAACAATGTGTCGTCTGTTTAGGATAAAGGTTTCACATGAATAAAAGCCGATCATTGTCTCTGTTAAATGGTGTGCCCCAAAAATGTACCTTCTACATTTTCAGGACAGCTTGTTCTGTTGAATAATAACAGACTTACTGGATGGATCACCAACAGAAAATAAAAGAAAGAAAGCCTAAAAAAACAAAAACAAATGCCACCAATACATCTAAGAATTGGTAAGCTACAATATAATAAATGTTTGCTTTTGGTATTATACCACAGGCTCCATGCACACTGGAGTTTTAATAACGCTGGTAGCATCAGCTGTGTAAAATCGTGAGTTTTCCAGCATTTTTAGCGTTTTTGCATTAGCGTTTAGCCACTATTAGCCATGTTTTTCTGCATTTGCATTTTACACAAAACAAAAAAAAAAATAAAATTTTTGCTCAAAAAACACACGTTTGCTGTGTTTTACTGTATTTTTCAGCACTAGAGAGTTTTTACAGCTAAAAAACTCACTAGTTCTGTTTTTTTTTTTTTCAACCAGGAAACACCCCTGCCAAAAAATGCTGATTAAAGCCTATGTGTGCATGGACACATAGGATAACATGCTTTGGAGTTTTTACTGGCTGTAGCAAAAAAAAACACCAAAAGCCAAAAACAGCCACTGTAAAAACGTCGAGTGTGCATGAGGACTAAGTGTTAGAAAATAACCACCATCAGTATAGACCTTAAAGTGGTTGTAAAGGCTGAAGGTTTTTTTACCTTCATGAATTCCCTGCATAAAGGTAAAAAATCTTCAGTATGCAGCTCCCCCCTAATACTTACTTGAGCCTGATCTCGATCCAGCAATGTGCAGGAGAGCAACTGCACTGCCTCCTCTCTCCCTCCTTATTGGCTCAGACACAGCAGTGCTACCCATTGGCTCCCACTGCTGTCAATCACAGCCAGTGATGAGGGAGCAAGAGGATGGGGCTGATGAACACACAGAATGGGGCTCGGGAGCAAGCATGCTAAAGTTCCCCCATAGCAAGCAACTTGCTCTGGGGGCACTCAGCAGAGGATAGGAGCCTAGAGTGTCAGTGGGGGACCTGAGAAGCGGAAGGATCGGGGATGCTCTGTGAAAAACAGTTGCACAGAGCAGGTAGATATAATTTTTTTTTTTGTTTAAACTTTACCTTTATTATCACCTAAAAAGATTGTAAACTTTAATAACAAACATGTTATACTTACCTGCTCTGTGCAAATAGAATCACCCTGATCCTCCTCTTCCCGGGTCCCCCCACCCACACTCCTGGCTCCTCCTCTTCTCAGTGTGCCACAGAGAAGCTACATCCCTGTGCCCTGCCCCTGCTCCCTTGTCACAGAATTTTGACTGACAGCAGTGGGAGCCAATGGCTCCCTCTGCTATCATTCTGCCCTGTGAGAGAGACAGGTGAGAGCCACTGCTCTTGGGCACAGCACTGGATCAAGATTGTGCTCAGGTAAGTATAAGGGAGGGGGGGATCCTGCAACACAGAAGGGTTTTTGCCTTAATGAAGGCAATGTGTTAAGATAAAAAACCTTAATCCTTAAGAGAAACATACGTACTTGGTAGGTAAATAATACATTTATTTATAAATGTCTACATATTAAACCAAAGTGAATGACGACTATAAGTGAAGGAAGTGAAGAGACAACTAAAAAGACATAGGCAAATAAACAGCCTTCTAAACTGCAACTCCCTAGGCATGAGCCAAGAATATGTAATACTACATCTATCCCTGGTGGGTACTTTATACACACTAAAAAGCATGCAGATTGACTTTCCCTTTTAGAATCCTAAAACAGCCAAGCACACACAAGGCTGCCTTAGTTAACAGTTACAATGCTTGTGACCTGTCATGTTGGATATATTTTTCAGTCAATTACCTGCCCTGCCCCCTATTTTCTATGCATTGTCTTTCCTTGGCTTGTTTTACCTTTAAGCTATTATTTCTCAACTACCACTTCCAACTCGTTTTCCTTCTTCCATTCCCGGGGTCACAAACAAGAAAACAAGTCATCTCGACATTGTATTATTCTGAATTTCCACTGGTACAAGATACCACGGAGAACTATTTGTGCCATCCTCCCAAGGCGACGGCTTTCCAGATAAAGTAAACCCCAATTATCAAACATAGCCAATGGCAATTTTCTGCTCCGAAACGGTGCGAGAAACAAAACAGCAATTCTTTCAGAACACACATCTGCATTCATCCCACAGAGTGTCAGCACAGAATGCAGGCAGCTTCTGCATAATACATAAAGTCCAGATAAAGGGGAGACGGTGAGAACATATACTTGGTCTAAGCCAAGTCATTAAAAGCCTTCACACACAACGTTGAGCCTTACCTGTGGCAGATAGTTGGTAACATGGAATGAAGTGCACAATTATCCAAATATATCATACAATTTTCATCACTTTTCTACCCCATTTCTGCATAGCACATGAGCCGAAACGCAGGATGTGTACTTTGCTTAATAAAAAATAAAATTCAGGTTTTAGCCCAGTAAGTCCTTTTTATATTAAGGTCACTTGATAAAAAGGTGGTGGGAAAGAAAAGACAGGACAATGTACAAAGGTTCACAGGGTCTTTCCAATGCTAATCTTCTCCATCTCCTTCCAATTTTAGCATCTGTCCTGCCGAAGTGAGGACACAGTCTCTCCGATGCTAACCAAAAACCGACGGAACCTTCAAGGCGCTGCTGCAGTTGCGTAAATCTTTAGGAGTCAGCCAGACCCTGATGGACCATGAACAAGGAAAATGTAAGCAGAGCGTAAAAAAAAGAGATGAAAGCCAACCCAAGGAAGGAATAATATTGTATTAGTAATAATTCTCTGTGCAAAATGAACGGGAATGAATGGAGAGAGAAACAGCTCCCAGCTAGAATGTGAAATAATACAGTGCAGCAGCAAAGCCTGAATCCACTCTGCTATTCATCAGGAGCTGAACAGAGTCCATGCACACACACACTCGTATGCACACATTGCCTGAGGAGAATGGAGGAATCACAGATGCAAGCAAGTACCTCTTTCACACTGCACTGTGCTCATCCTCCCTCTTTCCATGGGGGCTGCAACTGCTATGTGCGATTTAACAGTTCAAAGCATCGGGAGTACACTGACTTTATCTTACAGCAAGTGCATCCATCAAGCAAGGAAAAAGAAATCACTAAAAGGAGCGCTCCATGCTGACCAATTTATACATAGAATACAGGAGGCTCCCTATTGCTACTATATTGTTATACCACTGCACTATGCAGGAAAGGATTGACAAATCTATTAAATTGTCCATACATTAGTAGTATTTTATTAAAAATGTGTAATTTTAAGAACATTTGATCATTAAGTCGTTACTGAAATCAAATCCACAGTTTTCCGCATTTTGTGACGGCCAAGCACCAGTAGAAATGTATTTTAATTTTTTTTTTGGAGCCATTAGTTCAATTTTCTATTTTGTTTTCAACTGCAGTGATGAGAAAGTTTGATAGAGCAGGATGGAAAATGTTTCTCGAAGGAACAAATTTCTAACAGTGAATGTGGTTTTTTAAGCTGGAAAGTCTATTTAGTCCAAAATCGAATATAAAAGCAAATGTTTTTAGTGTCATTAAACCCACATCAAATCTATCAATAAATGGGGTTTGTTTTCTGTATTCTGCAAGAAACCTGGTTGATCCTACTGTTCTCTATCTACCCCTCCTGTCCATGTCCCCAATGCAGTTGGAGATTTTGAAGAGCAGTGTTGGCAGCTACTGCACATGCCCAGTTTTCAGTGAGTTTCTATGCTCAGCATTTACTCCTTAAAACATCTGAGCAGTCCATGTGACTATAGAGTCACTCATAAGGGTGTATATACACAATGGTAAATGACAGCCCACTCCCTCTCTCCTCCTCCATGCCCACTAACCAGCTAAACACAATGGGGTTGGGATATTACATCTTGATTGATGGAGGCTTTACTTTCCTGTTGTTCTAGGACACAGGATGGAGAAGTGTCACACAGCCTGTGACTGTCAGAAATCCATCCACACCACGTTATTGCCAAAAATAATAAATATTTAATTTCAAATATATACTGTTTTGCCAAAAACACCCCTCCAAATTACTGGATTCGGGTGTTCCAATCACCTCCATGGCCATAGGTGTATAAAATCAAGCACCTAGGCATGCAGACTGCTTCTACAAACATTTGTGAAAGAATGAGTCACTCTCAGGAGCTCAGTGAATTCAAGCATGGTTCTGTGATAGGCTGGCACCTGTGCAATAAGTCCTTCCATGAAATTTCCTTGCTACTAAACATTCTATGGTCAGCTGTTATTGGTATTATAACAAAGTGGAAGCAACTGGGAACAACACAAAGCGGTAGGCCACATAAAATGACATATTGAGATCAGCTGAAGCACACAGTTCGCAGAAGTCACCAACTGTCTTTAGTGTCAATAGCTAAAGACCTCCAAATTTCATGTGGCCTTCAGATTAGTACAACAACAATGTGTAGAGACCTTCATGGAATGGGTTTCCATGGCCGAGCCACTGCATCCAAGCCTTACATCACCAAGTGAAATGCAAAGCGTTGGATGCAGTGGTGTAAAGCACGCCACCACTGGACTCTAGAGCAGTGCAGATGTGTTCTCTGGAGTGACAAATCACGCTTCTCTGTCTGGCAATCCAATGGACATGTCTAGGTTTGGCGGTTGCCAGGAGAACGACACTTGCCTGACTGCATTGTGCCAAGTGTAAAGTTTGGTGGAGGGGGGATTATGGTGTGAGGTTGTTTTTCAGGGGTTGGGCTTGGCCCCTTAGTTCCAGTAAAGGGAACTCTTAAGGCGTCAGCATTCCAAGACATTTTGGACAATTTCCTGCTCCCAACTTTGTGGGAACAGTTTGGGGATGGCCCCTTTCTGTTCCAACATGACTGTGCACCAGTACACAAAGCAAGGTCTATAAAAACATGGATGAGCGAGTTTGGGGTGGAGGAACTTGACTGGCCTGCACAGAGTCCTGACCTCAACCCAATAGAGCACTTTTGGGATGAATTAGAGTGGAGACTGCGAGCCAGGCCTTCTTGTCCAACATCAGTGCCTGACCTCACAAATGCGCTTCTGGAAGAATCTGGTGGTGGTGAGAGCACTGCTTGCAATCCATCACACTACCACACTGTCACGATCTAACGGTAGCTCTATGGATCCACAGTCTGGGATTCCCTAGGGCGTGGAATCTAAGCCCCAGTTTGCTTGTTCACCAGAGCCCCTGATGGTGGGGATGGACTTGGAGCAGGCTGATACCAGGTCGCGGCCCCCGGGTACACCCAAACTGTAGTAGAGAGGGCCGCTAGTGGAACATAGCTGGGTAAGAGCCTGACGTGAAGAGGCAGGGAAGACCTGAGCGGTAAAAGGATAGATCCGTGCAGGATGGATGGATGCGGACACACCGTGAAGCAAGTAGCGGAGTCAGACAGGCCGGGTCGGTAACTGTGGAGGCAGAGCGGAATCAGAGCAGCAGACAAAGGATAGTCGGGTCACAGGCCAAGTTCAGCAACAGGAGGTCAGACGATCAGGAGCAGGCAGAAGAGTGGTCCAGAGAAAAGCCAGGGGTCAGGGCAGGAGACGGTCAGCAGTAATCAGGAGCAGGCTGGGTTCGGCGACAAAGGTACACACACAGGATCAGGACACAAGCAGAGGATAAAGACCATATGGCAACTTGGACATTGCAATGGCCAGTTTAAATAGCCCGCCCGGCGCCGACAGGCGCTCCTGGGTCCTAGTGCCTGCCCTGCGCCGTCGTTGGTGACAGGCGCGCCTGGGTCCTAGTGCCCGCCTGCCTGTATGCCTTGTCGGGATCCTAGTCTTCTCGTTCCCTGACACACACATATTATCTACAAATGTGTTTTTATCAGTTATCTTGTCTGCATTCATTTAATAAAAGGTGTAATTTGTACTGCACCATTGGAGTTTTTACCTTTTACTTTTTCATGTCCATTGCATCTAGGGGAGAGGAGCTAGGGGGATTGTGGATATGCTGATATTGTCACATTCCCTTCCCACTTTGAGCTTTTCAAAGTGATATATGCAGACCACGGGAGTGAGAGGCATGGAAATTTAGTGAGTGTATACCCAGAAGGGGAACGTTTTTTCTTGAACACGTGGTGATTTCGGTTTTGGGAAGTAAATAGAAGATTATCATGTTGGAATGAATTTATGGACTGCCCCTCCCTCCCAAAAATGCCACCCAAGGCAAACACTTTGTTTGCCTCACGGCAAATACGCCCCTGGCTAGAAGCCTAAAGGAGTGCATAAAAGCACTGATTGACAGTGGCTGCTCAAAAGAGCCTCGCTAGCATTTCCATTGACTGCAGGGCAGAGGGGAGGAGCGTTTTACTGGCAATGTTCGAGTGATATGCTGTGGCCTGGCCATTAATAGGGCCAAGAAATGCAGAGAATTAGTAAGATGGTCATGTGACTTTTGGAAGAGAGAGGCAAAAAGGGTATTTAGGAGCATTTTTTTTATTATTCAGTGCTTACTGCTTTTAGCCTATGGTCATTTTTTACACAGATTTAAACACAGGTGCATGTGGGTTTACAACTGCTTTATCCTAATCCTGAAGCATGACAAAACTGAACCTAAAGTGTTACTAAACCCACAACAGTAAAATCAGTCTGTATATGCAGTAAATCATGTTTGTTATACTCACTGTGAAACCTAAGGGGTTATTCCTCTGCATTGTGTAAAAAGGATGTTTGATCCTGTCTTCTCTGATCCTCCCCTTCTTTTACTTTCCATAATCCATCTGCTGATAGAATGATAGAACAGAGCCTTGGGGGGCAAGCTGCACATGCTCAGTTTGGTGTGTATTCCTAGAGAGTTTTTTTTTCTTGGGAGAATGCATGTGATTAGCACAGGGCCAATCAGTACTGTCCAGACAGAGGGTCAAGTGTCCTGCAGTCTTATAGGGCAATCAGGGGAGAATGAAAACTCCTACAATCTTTAACCATTGCTCTGCTGGACACTGATAGAAGTCACAAGACTGCTCTAACTGCTGATGAGAAAAAGTACAGTATTTAGCAGTTTATATTTACTAAAATAATTGCATTTCCATGTTGTGTGTACTGTGGGAGACCAGATATAGTGAATGCAGGGTCCTGGGTTTATTAACATTTTAACCTAATCTGTATGATTAGAGCAGCCTTTTTCAGTATATTAATGTAAAAAACTGGCACCAATCTTTAAACATTGCAATACGCACCTTTGCAGTAGGTGCTCTGTTAAATCTTTGTGTTCTTGAAGAGCCCTGAGAATTAGTAGAGTATTACAGTGTTTCTTTTACAGGTTGATGGTAGTTTATTTTTTTTAATAGAGCTGATTTAACTTCTGATTTAACTTCTCTCCATGCATTCCTGACTCATGCACTGGTTCAGGGCGATGGGAAAGGAGGGCACAGCTTGGCTTTGCCCTGAACACTGGATGACTTTTTCCTGGCATTGCTCCATCAAGCCTGTTTGTGCCAGAATCAGTGCTGTAGGATCTCAGTCTCTGACCCAAAAAGGTAAGTGACAAGTTACATGTGCTGAAACCAACTAACTCATGTCACTAGAGTCTCCAGTAGATATTAGAAAACAGTATGTATTTAACATTTTGCTACCCATATAACAGACGTGCAGTGGCAAAAAGGTGGACTTTACCACCCACACAGTGCACATATGTGTCACAGGGTGGCCAATGTTTCTGTAATGAGTGTGTGCTGACTATGCACTCCCAGCAGTCAAAGGCAGCTCTCAGTCCACACAAATGATCGATAGTCCCAGGGACCGGCTACCGATCATGTGACCACTGTGGCAGGCACATGATCACATGATCCTTCCCACATACAGATTCTATTAAAGGGACACTCGGGCTGGGCGGGAAGGGGTTTAGCTTGCAAGCAACTGTCAAAAATGTGAATACTAGTTTTTTTAAAGATGTTGTAAACCCTTACATATTCCCAGTGAAGTGACTGGCCTCAGGTGATACACAGAGATTAAACAAATCCTCCTACATATGTTGTACCTGTTTATGTGCAGTCCTCTCTTCTCTACATCTGTTCAAAGTCCAGAATTTATAAAGCTTGTCTAAGGGTTCAGAAAAAAGGGGTGGAGAGCTGAAATTACACACTGCAGAGCTCAGTGAGGAGAGTTCTGAGAGCTGATTGGAGGGAAGGGGCACACCCCCCTCCACAAAGCACACAGGAACAGAGCTGAGGCTGTCAATCTGCTGGAGATCCCTCCCCGTCACCAGTTTTTTCTTGGTGTCAGGAAAACTTGTCAGAAGTGACTCATACTGATAGCAGAGGAAAGAAGCAGCAGACAAAAATTACACTTAGTGATCTGGATACACACTATAGAAGGGTATGCTTTGTTCATATTTCATGTCTGAAGTGTACGACTACTTTAAGGATTGTGGTCATAAGCTTAAGACCACTTGAGAACACATTTCCCCTTGGCAAGATGTGTGGCTATGTCTGCAGTTGGGACAGAAGTATTTTTATAGTGATTATAATTATTATTACTGATTCTTGAGGAATGGATGTGGGATATAATATTATTTCTTTTAACAAGCACAGAGGGTAGTGAAATCTATATTCTTTCTTCTCCCCTTCCCGCCCTAATCCCAGTACATTGGCCTACATACTGTGCTGGAGACAGCTAAATGCAAGCATTGTCAATTTGAGGGCTAAAGGTTTTCATATAATTTCAGCATTATACATAAAGCCCATTTTCCTGTCCACAAAGAAGCCAGAAAAGTCAATTAGGTGTTGGGCTAAGTGTTAGGGCTAAGTATAATTTTTGAAACATAATTATAACATGACAAAATTCTCTCTGCATAACATTTGTGAAGCTCAGAGATGTGTCATCGAGTACAATATGTTCTCTATGCTGTGGATTGTGGGAAACATGTCATGTGGGTGTCATCCCTTGTGTTGTCGCACAGGCTTTCTGGTTAGGATGTTGTGCTTTTAGAAAATGGAGGAGGAATATTCACATTGCTTAGCTAAACTGGAGATCTGCTACTGATCAATAATACACAGAAAACAATGTAAGCGTACAATATCCAACAAAGCAATTTATCGTTTAGTGCATCACTTTGACAAAGATTTATTTTTCTTAAGCTTTGAAAATGTATTTAAGCCTGCAGCAGAAATACAAAGTATTCAGGTCCGCTTCCC